TTTCAACTGAAAGCTGCCCTAACCTTCTGACTCGAGGGAACTCAAGCCCTTGAGGAAGGGACCTTCCTGGGGGTCTTCCAGCCCATGAGATGACGTGGTGAGGCGAGCTTTTGTCCCAGCAATGGCAGTGCACAGGAGAGAGACCTTTGCTTGGAGCCGAAGGGCTGAGAGAGGTGAGAGGAGACCCCCCCTTGTGTGGAATGGAAAGAGATCCAGCTCCAACTTCAGCTCGGACTGCTGCATGGAAGAAGAGAGACTGCTGCCCTGAGGGTGGAAAGGATCTTTCCTTTTTCCCTTCTGGACTTTTCTTGGAGGGAGAAGAGATTGGATCCATTGTAAATCCTGGTTTATCCCACGAGAGAGAGTTAGGATTGTGTCTAGAATGTATTGGAATATTTCTTTGTGTCCTAATTGTAATAGAATTCCCTTCCCCCCATCTTGAGTCTTGTGTTGTGTCTGGAAAACCCCTCTCCCACTGGGGTGAGTTGTGGGAGGGGGTTTGGACTAAAGAATTGGATTTTTAGGGGTCTCAAGCCACCCCAGGGGGTTATTCCGGAACGGAGAGGATAGGCCGGAATGGGTAGGATAACAAAGTGGCCCAAAGCACATGGGTTGGTCTGCACTGTGCTGCTGTGGGGTGTTGATTCTTTGGTCTCCAGGGCTATTCCAGAATGGAGACGATAGTCCGTGACATCACAATGGGGCCCATGGCACACAGGTGGGGCTTCACTTTGGGGTTGTAGGACGTTGGTTCTTTGGTTGCCAAGGCCCATTCCGGAATGGAGAGGATAGGCCGTGACATCACCAAGGGGTCCATGCCACATGGGTGGGGCTGCATTTCAGGGTCATGAGGCGTTGGCTCTTTGGTTGCCAGGGGCTATTCCGGAATGGAGAGGATCGGCCGTGACATCCCAAAGGCGCCCATGGAACACGGGTGGGGCTGCACCGTGCTGGTATGAGGTGTTGGTTCTTTGGTCCCCAGGGGCTATTCCGGACTGGAGAGGATAGGCTGTGACATCCCAAAGGAGCCTTTGGCACACGGATGGGGTTGAAGTGTCCCATGGTGGGGGCTTGGTTCTTTGGTTTCCGGGGGTGTGGTGGGGAAAAAAGGTGTTTTTTCCCCCTGGAGTTCAAAAAATGGGAACCCCTGAGGGGGTGGTGTCTCTTGCTCTTGACCCAATCAGCGCCCCTGCCAAATTCAAACTTATCAAACCAGAGCAGAAAAGAAGGGGGATGAGGGAGTTGGAGAAGAAGTGGCCATGTTCTGAGAGCATGAGGGGAGAAGGGGCAGGAGCCCTGCTGGGGACCACGCCCCCTCAGCCCCCCGGCTGGGGTCCTAGAAACTCGGAAACAGTGTTCAACTGGACCCAGGTCTGGGACTGAAAAAGCTGGGAGTTCTTCTCCACTGGGAGTGGGCAGCAGAAGACAGAAAGGCGGCAGCAGTGAAGCCAGGTAAAACCTGGAATGCGAATTTAGTAGAGCAATACAGGAATTAGAAAGTTAAATACAAAATGCAGGCTTTAAGCAAAAGCATAGAGAACTTAGTATTAAGAAACAGCGGAGATAATAAATTCACTAGAATACAGGACGCTCTGACATGCAACACTGTGTCTAGTTCAAAAGAACCAAATTCCAGCCAAGTCACTCCTCTCATTTGTCCAAACAGAGGCCAAGTACCTACAGACAGCCTACAAAGTTCTTCCTTTTTTCAAGTTGTCTCAGAACCAGTCAAAGTTTTCCAGTGTTTCAAAACCAAACTCAGGGGGAGATTCCTTAGGAATCTTAAACTTTGAATCCACACAACCCATGATTGCAAAACACAAACAAAACACACACTAGGCCCACCCCCTGTGAATTGGGTCTGGGGGCTTTTTGGGACCACTCCATCATTCTCATCATCTTCAGAGCACAAAGGGTACCTGGTCACCCAGTTCTTGACTGTGTTCTGCTGTTCAGGCCAAGATATGAGTGTTCTCCAAACAGCATAGGCCTTGTCTTGACAAAAGACTAAACATTTCTACTGAATTCAGGGGTAAAATTGATATAGGGAGCATGGAATGGGGTGGGAGGGTTGAGGAATGTGTAAACTACTTGTGCTAAAGGGTGAGGAATATAATATAGCTACTTCTAAAATCTACTTCTACTATAAGTACATATAAAGCTTATAAAAATTAGAAAAAACCAAAAAACTAAAAGGGTCTTAAGGCATCGGTTTATGCCAACACATTCAGTTTAGAGGCATTACAGAGATGTGACTGAACCACTTTTGTCCCCTAAGTTTTAATGATGGCAAATCAGACCTACTGATAGAAATGAATTTATTCAGGGTTACAAAGGATCAGACAAAAGATCTTCATCAGAATTACTTACTGCACAATAGAAACACTAAAACTACCAGGAGTACAGGATAAGATAGGACAGTGCTCTACACTAAAGCAAGTCTTGAAGCAATTCTACTCAAGCTGGCACAAAAGCAAGAATTCTTAATTAGAGATGGATGGAACTCCCCCAGACCAACGTTCGTGGGGAGATCTCTGCTCTCAACCTCCAGCAGTGACCTTGGGGTGTCCCCAGCCAAGGCAGGAATCTCCACACACCCCCCAAGAAGGGTTCTCTTGGAAGAACCTGCCCCTGGGAAAGGGGACTGGCCCTTTCTGGTTGAAAGGGATGGACTGACAGTCACTGGACTCCAGGGGTTGCCTCACCATCAGGGGCTTCATTCGGGGTGGAAGCAGCGGCTGAAGCTCTTCCCGCAGTCGGGGCACTGGTAGGGCTTCCCTTACCGGTGGGTCTGTTGGTGTCTGGTCAAGTTAGACCTGTCAGAGAAGCTCTTCCCACACTCCCCACACTTGTAGGGCCTCTCCCCGGTGTGGATGTGCCGGTGGGTGATGAGGGTGGAGTTCCGCTTGAAGCCCTTCCCGCAGTCGGTGCAGCGGAAGGGCCTCTCATCCGTGTGCGTCTGCTCATGCCTGAGAAGATCTGAGCTGGTCTGAAACCTCTTCCCACATTCCAAGCACTTGTAGGACCGTTCTCCAGTGTGGATGAGCTTGTGTCGGATCAGGCTGGAGCTGTACCTGAAGCTCTTCCCACATTCCCCACACGTGTAGGGCTGTTCACCAGTGTGAATGCGCTGGTGTTTGCGGAGGCTGGAGCTGTCAAAGAAGCTCTTCCCACATTCCCCACACGAATAGGGCCGTTCCCCAGTGTGGATGCGCTGGTGTTTGATCAGGCTGGAGCTGTGCCTGAAGCTCTTCCCACATTCCCCACATGAATAGGGCCGTTTCCCACTGTGGATGTGCTGGTGTTGGATCAGGCTGGAGCTCTGGCTGAAGCTCTTCCCACATTCCCCACATGAGTAAGGCCGTTCCCCAGTGTGGATGTGCTGGTGTCGGATCAGGTAGGTGCTCTTCCTGAAGCTCTTCCCACATTCCAAGCACCTGAAGGGCTTCTCCCTGCTGGGAGGCTGCTCAGGGACCACCAGCTCAGAGCTCTGCCTCAAGCTCCGGCCGCCTTCCTGGCACAGTCTGGGTCTTTCCTCCTCAGAGCACCCTGGGCTGGCTTTGGAGCCCCTCCTGCGGGGGGATCTCCGGCCCTTTTCCTCCCCACTGCCTTCCTGCACGGTGGAGCCCTTCAAAACGGCCTCTCCCACCAGGGTCCCATGGGGGGATTTGTCCTCCGGGCTCTCCGTCCTCAGCTCGGGGCCTGGGGCAGGAAGCAAGAAGGACAGGGAGGGGATTTGCCTCCGGCCCACAGGGAAGGCCAAGGACATCCCCCCAACTCCGGCCCCGGCAGGACGGCGGCGGCAGCGGGGTTGTCCTGCAGCCGGGGGCCATGCTCGGCTGCCAGAGCCAGCACAACACCCGCCCAAAGGGCCACTGACTTCCTCCTCACCTGCCTGGGGGGCCCAAGGCATCTTCCTCTTCCTCG